AAAAAAAAGTATATTGCTTTTATCTGTAAAGAAATGTAAGTAAGTTGCTATTATCGGTAAAAACAAAAGTATATTGACTATATTGGTAAAAAGAGTAAAGTATGTTGCTATTCATTGCAATTTACCTTTTTTTTTAACCATTACCTAATCTTGATTGCCTTTTTAAAAAAAAAGGATACATTGAAATCACCTCCATCCGAAACCAAAACCATGAAGAAAGCATCAATATCTGCAATAATGATCACCACCTTCTTCTATATGTGTTGTGGGAGCTTCGGGTATGCTGCCTTTGGAAATAACACACCTGGCAATATCTTGAGTGGATTTGGATTTTATGAGCCCTATTGGCTTGTTGATTTGGCCAATGCATGCGTTGTTCTTCATCTTGTTGGCGGATATCAGGTGAGACACATTTTGTCAGTGTTTGTTACACGAGACAATAATCGACTGAAATTGAAAGATTTGTCCCCCCTATAATTAGTCTCAATCTCAGCCAGACAAGAAATTGCTATTTTTGTCCTATTGAAATCAGTCTCAGTCTCAGTCTCATTGTCAGTGTCATTTTCAGTTTCAATCTGAGGCTCAGTCAAAACAAAAGGTTTTACTAAGTATTCAAATTACAGATATTCAGCCAGCCGATATTTGCACTTGTGGAAAAATGGTTTTCTAACAATTACCCAGACAGTGAATTCGTGAATGGGTTTTACAGACTGAAGCTGCCATTATCAGAAGCAACATTTCATGTTAATCTCTTGAGGCTATGTTTCAGAACTTTATATGTTGTGACCACAACTGGAATCGCAATGTTGTTTCCATATTTTAATCAAGTGTTGGGAGTGTTAGGGGCCTTAAACTTTTGGTCACTGACTATATATTTCCCTGTGGAGATGTACTTTGTACAAAGAAGGATTGTACCTTGGACAACAAAATGGGTTGCTCTTCGGACCTTCAGCTTGGTTTGCTTTCTTGTATCAGTTTTGGCCTTCATTGGATCACTTCAAGGACTCATATCGGCTAGATTCAGATGAATACATGTATACTTTCTCGGCTATTTTATTAGAATTCTTGGTTTCTTGTACATTCATAGTCCTTTTTATGCAATAAAGTTTGGCTAGAAATCAACATAAATATCTCTTTACTAGTTGCTAAAGAACAAATTCTGTAAATTTTAAATAGAAATCGTAACAAAAAAGGTGGTATTTTGAAGTCTCTGAATGGCTTCTTGCACATTTGTGATAAATGTTTGTGAAAATAGACAAAGGTTCTTTTGTAAGTTGTTGAAGAACCAAAGGGGTGATTTTGATTTTTAAATGGAAATTCTGTTGAAAAGCATCCTAGGGTCTCTGAGTGTTTATGTTTCGAAACAATTATGACAATAAGAATCAAAATTAGTTGTTACTATAAAGCTAGATACAACAACAGTATGTTTAAGTAGTTATGCAATAACATATTTTATATACGACTTAAAATTGCTTTGATGATAATAAAACTCAAAAGTTAGAATCAAACATTAGAAAACCAATAAAATCTGTTGGACAAATTAATAAAAAATTGCTTCCGAGAAAGAGAGTATGTACTAAAAATATATGAGCTCTTTTTGTCCCACATCGTCTGGTTCCCAAATGTGGGAGTAGGGGTGAGTAGTATAAAACGAGAGGGAGGCTAATGGATTACTCACTTACCTGGACGGGGTCAATGGTTGATCAAGAAGGTCCATGGCCTAAGTTGACGACCTCCATTGCACTCAGGAGGGGCGTTAGCTTAAGGTCGGCCCAAGTGGTCGAACCTACGTCATAATTTGTGCCAGTGGGGGCCTGCGTTCGCGCAGCCCCTGTCAATTCACTAGTCAAATTTCTTTTAGCATAAAATTTTGGCTCTTATAATTGCCAATACGGGTGACATAGTTTGTCCAAAGTTAATTTTTTTAATTACAACATTAACAGAGGACAGTTGGTGCTGCTTGTAAATTTAGCATCGCATTAGTTGATTGTGTGGAACAAGGAACATCCATTTGTACAAAGGAAACAAGAGGTCACAATTGTATTCATAGACGTTGGTTTTTTATTTATTTATCAATTTGATGTTTTCAAATTTGCACAAGGTGTATATAAAAATGTAAGACCTGACTACTACATTTTTCAGGCACATTCAACAGTCAAAATGTGTTTACTTGTTTATACAGTCTTTCGTAAATTGTAATGTCACATGGGATTAGGTTTGTGTCAATTAGTCGATTTGAATGTTTTCTATTAGTGAGAGCAATTCAACACTCAAATTGTTACCACCAACAGATTGCGAATATGGCCCAACACCCATTTAGGCTATGCATTATGTAATATAACAATTGTCATGAAGACATTCCTATAGTTGAAGCCACCAAATAATAATAAAAACCATAGTATTTGTTAGTGAAATGAAATGTAAATATGTAATAGTTGGCAGTTGCAAACATGGTGGATCCACATTGATTCAAACTTGAGACACCGACCTCTCTACCACTACACCAAGTCTTAGTTTTGTAAGCAATATCTTTCTCATTAAATATAATCAGTATAGAAATAAGTCAAATTTAAAAGTTTGAAGTGTTAGGACAAGGATATAAACCCAAGAACTTACAGCTATATATATAGAAGACAATACTTTTTAAAATACATTGTAAACGAATTTATACAAATAAATATGCAAACATACTTTTCTTAAGTAATTATGTTAAAATTTAAATACATATTATTTAGGTATGTATATGAATAAATACAAAAATCCAGCTTAAAAATGTAAATTTTACACATAAATACATAATTTTATCTTATGAAAAATATGTTTTTATATTGTGTTAATTTGTAAAAATAAGTATTTATATTTTTTTATTTGTAAAACACATAGTTATACATAGAAATACGTAATTATATGATGAACTAGACACTTATACTTTTTTTATTTGTAAAAGTACATATTTATATTTTTTATTTGTAAAAATACATAATTATATTATAAAATATGTATCTGTACTTTGTTTATTAGTAAAAATACTAATTTATATGATAAAATATGTCAAAATACGCATTTATACTTTGTTTATTTATAAAATTAGGTTTTATAAATATAATATATATGTATTTCTACATAAAAAAAATATATTATTATGTAAAACTATACATTTTTACTTTGTTTATAAATAATATAACATCTATTTGTAAAAACAAATATTTATATGTAAAATAGTTTTTTTATTGCATTTATACGTATAAATACACAAATAATACATATTTTACTTAAAAAAACAGATTTTTATGTATTTATATGTATATATACGCAGTGGCGGACCATAAGAGGGGCTGGGGGAGGCCATGCCCCCCCCCCCCCCCCCCCCCCAAGTTTTGAGCTTTCTAATACCCAACTATGCATAATATATTGTGTGTAATCGTAGTTGGTTTCTCACCTCACTACAAGAAATATTGGCATTACCGGCGACGCCTTTAGCGGCGACATGTCGCCGGTAATGCTCGCAAATGGCGATCCGCGTCAACTTACCCCCATCCGTCCGATTTGTTTTCAATCCAACGGTTGTAGAAAAGACGCTGACTTTTCCCTCCAAAAAGTCGCCGCTATTTGCAGCGACATGTCGCCGCTACAGGTATTAGCGGCGACTTCCCTAACCTTTAGCGGCTACAACTGTCGCCGCTGTTGCCCAATCTTCTTGTAGTGCCTCTATACTGGTTTCCAGTATTTAACCCCACGCATTATCTATAAAGTTGGTTTCTCCAATGATGCCACAGTAAAAGACATTGTGTGTAATCGTAGTTGTGTCCACTTAGTGACCACTCCCCCATACTCATTCTATTTGATAAATAAGGTTGGTGTTTCATCCCATTCTCAATTAGGGAGGTTTGGCTTCGTATCCGTACGTCTGGAGGAACCTGTTGTCAGTTGATATCAACTTGTGGTTCTCTCAAAATATTCTCCATTATGTGTTTATCTTGTGGATGACCCTGAAAGACCGTACGTGTCCAAACACATGATAAAATCCGTAATTGTGAGTCTCATTAAAATCTTATATGTATTTTTTGTAACCTGTGTCCTGATTCTTTTATTCATCTCTTCCTCAACTATACCTACCCCTCCTAAATGAACATCAACAATGTTCCCACTTGACAAAAAAATGATTTGATTTAGTAGTAAAAACTAAAAAACTATGTTGCCTCACAGTCTTAAGGTTTCTCCTAACATTTTAAATCTTTTAGTTTAAATTTGTTGCTATACAAATTATCTTTTAGTTTAAATTTATTGCTATACAAATTATATTTGGTGTACTGGTAGATGCTTAAAGCTTTTAATCCAAGACCACCCAAGTTCGAGCCCCTCTCCTAACATTTGTCCTAATTTCATTTTCTCTATGCCGATGTGGCATGCAATCTCATCAATCCATTTTTTTTGTGAACATCGACCCATTTTTCTTTAGTTGTAAGTACTCGGTTAAAGTTCAAACTCGTTTGTCTCCGCTTCACAACACTTGATGCCATCGTTGTCCACCAATCATAGGCCCCGTAAAGGTGTAAATGCTCTTGGATGATCCTTTCCGGTAGAACACCAAATAGACATTGATCTCACTAAGTAGTTGCATTTTTCAAAGTGTAGTGATAATGTGATATGCTTGCATGCATATGTACAATATGTTTGTGAAAAGCTAAGGAAAAAACATGTTGATACGATGCATGAAAACGAGCCTAACAACATCACTCTCCTTTATACATATATAAAATCATTGGAGGATTATTAACCGTTCATTAATAATGATATTGAAGGAATAATTATTTGGAAAATCACACAAGGACATCACTACTCACATATGCTTTACATATAGTATAAAGCTTTGAATTATGCAAATCCTCGGAGGACATAGTAAAGTAACTATCATCGTAATAATTGGGGCGATAAATCCTTAAGAATAGTGACTATCATGTCCTCGTTTTTTTTTGTTCGTAATATAGCTATAACACTTTACACGACCATAATGCTAGACTTATTGTCATTCCCTTACGAACAACTTGAAACATTCATTACATATTATACACAGTAAGAAAAATTAAATAAAATTTAGGGAACAATCTTGGAACATTTTAACTTATCAATCCAAGAAACCAATGATGATTTGGAGTTTCGAAACCCTAAAAACCCATGTTCCTTGCTTTTGTTCATGATATCCAACGTACCCTCAATGCTAAGTACAAAATCCACAAACCGCCATCCTCCCACTTCCTCTAGTTTCGTTGTCAACAACTCCTTTTCCTGCACAATCGCATCCCAAACAGGCCCTTTATCCTTCATCATCTCCCCCAAGCTCTTCCGGGATTCATCTTCTTGAAGCCCTCCGTTCTCAACATCAAATTGCTCAGCCAAAATTTTCCAGAAGTGCTTCCATTTAAAAACGTCGCCATTACAAATGTTAAAAGCTTCGTTCTTTGCAATTGGGTCAACGGCCGCCCATATATGATGTTCGGCGATTAGGTCGGCATCCGAGACGTCGTTATAGCTATTCCACGCCTCCTTCGTCCCTGGGAATTTAAAGGGTTCACCCTCGTGCTTACATATTGCAGCATAAACACATAAACTTGCTAAAATGTTCATCATACTGTAGGGAGAGAACCCTAATACTAATCCTGGTCTATGAACAGACCATGTCAATCCTACCTTCTTTGCGACCTCTTTAAACAAAATATCTTCGAGTGTGTAATAGAAATTCGGCTGATTAAGCCTGGGAAGATCTTCATAAAATGGCGCATTATGAGACTCGATCCCTTTCCCCCATTCTTCAAATGGTCCCATGTAATGCTTACGTCCTGTCTGTAAGCATACGTGTTGTAAATTAGGGGCATTAGGGATCACTGCATTGAGCACATTCGTGAACATTTTCCCATTAATCTCGCAATTTTCTGCTTCTGTGGTGCAATTCGCCCATGTGACGTAGAATATATGGGTTAGGTCTTGTAGTTTCGAGAGTTTGGATTGTGTTTCTTCAGGATCTGTGATGTCGCACTGGATGTATTCCATCGGGTAATCGGCGTTCCACTGTGGTCGAGGGCGGCGGGCGACTCCGTATACCTTCCATGGACCACCGGGAGTGTCGTGGAGAGGGAGGATTTCGGCGAGACTATTGCCGACGATGCCGGTGGCTCCGATTATCAAACCAAACTTCTGGTACTTGCGAGATGGATTGCTTTCATCGAGTTTTTTCTGTAATACACAAATCGATAGTAATTGAATATGAATTATGAAACTGCATTACGTATTGGATGAGAGAAGAGGAATGATGTACCCTTGCTGCGCCAACGACTCCCGATCGCCACCAGCTCATGCTTTCCGTTAGGATCAAGAGGATTGCGATTTGGAAATGAATAATTTGCAGAAAGAGAAAACAGAAATGTGATATTTATGAAATACGGCCTCCTAGAAACTTGGTCAATCACCAAACCAAACACTTTATGTGTGTTTTGCTATATTACAAATTTACAAATTACAATGCAAGCAATGAACAATAATTTCAATAATATAAACACATTTTGAGATCATATACGTTTTATATAATGTGTATTGGGGGACGAGGCAAGGTAAAAAAGAAAAAAAAAATCTAGTATAACTCTCAACCAAATCAGTTGACAAAAGTATCAAGAGTTCAGGACCATGACGTTCCCTTGTGTTAATATGTCATTGTCCTTTTTTTTTCAAAATCAAAAATCAATATATTATACATTATGTTTATTATAAAATTATTTAAAAATATAAAAAACTATGTTGTAGTTCTCAATGAAAAGTATAATATTGATAAATTTTTAATGTATATCTGAAAATGTCAAATAAAATATATTTTTGAGTAAGATAGATTGTTGATAAATAACCAAAATATTAAATTTGTTTGATATGACAGTACTGGTTGTATATATAAATTAAACAGAAAATGATATATTAATAACTGGTTGGTTTGTGATTGGTTGTGAATAACCTTCATTACATATTTACATATATTTAGTTTTCTTTGACTAACAATTTTCTTTTTGGTTAAAACTATATAAAGTAAAGGGCAAGCTATAGAACTACAACTATATTTAAATCGTTTTTAGAGTTTAACCATTTTGAAACAAAATGCTCAATGAAAACCACTCTATTAAAAGGGCAAACAATAGAAAAGTTATATGAAATAAAGGACAAACAACGTTTTTGTTGAAACTAAATAAAATAAAGGGCAATTTTTCTCCCACTATATTTTAATCGTTTTTACGGTTTAATAACTGTGAATCAAAAAGCTCAATGAAAACCACCTAGTTTGATAAAATTTTCTGCCATGCTATAAATGTTAAAATGATCACAAAAGGGAAAATATTGTCAAAAGTTTATTTATTTATTTATTTATAAAAACGTATTTTTTAATTGACTAATAAATCTTAGGTGTTATTTGATTTTTCTGAGACAAAATGTTTGCAGTCTGCGGACCATATCTGCAGACCTCTGCAATAGAAAATGTGGACCAAACGTCTGCAGTCTGAAAGAAGAAAACTGTTTGTTTTTTAACATCTGCAGGCTGCTAGAATAAACTAAAATCTAACTAAACTGATTTTTTTTTATAAAAAAATTAAAAGAGTTTTTCAATAATTTTATAACTTTATTATAAATAATTAACAAATGTAGATCGACTTTTATGTATTATTTGTATAAAAAGGTGAAAATAAATATGGTACAAATTAACGTATATATTTGATAAAAATCAACAAACTTTGGTCGCAAATTAAGATATACCTAAACATTGTAATTAAGGATAAAAGAATTTAACACGTAAAATGGATGATAATATTCTTTGATTTTAAATGAAAATTTCAAAATTTTCATTTTACCTATTCAATTAAATCATTTAAAAACTAGCCATAAATATTTATCCCAAGAAATGAATGATATTGCATTAAATAATGTTTTATAAAATTTGACACAAAAAATATAAGACAATATTACGATTTTTTTTTTCATATCTATATAAACAGTTCTAACGACCATTATTGTAATAAAATTTTTATTTATAAATTTGTCACAAAAGTCATGATTGTGTCGTCGAACCTTTTTTCTTTAAGTATTGTAATTTTTTTCCCAAATTGTTTATCATAGATAAAGTTAGAATAAATCTAAGCTAAAAAAACTAAGATATATGTGTTTTTTAGGCTAGAAGATGTCTAAAGAGGTTTGAAAACTTTGGTCAACATCTGCGCCAAGAAGAGGACGCGCATACCTTTTTAGGTTTGCAGTCTTCAAAAAAACAAACAATCTGCGAAGCCTAATGTCTGCGCGGCGCAGACAGAAGAGGCCAAAAAGATCTGCAGAGAAAAAACAAACACCACCTTAGTTCATTGTTTTTAGTAGAATATTTTGATTCATGTTAGAATGTTTTTTTCTATTCCGCTAAAGCCACTTTAACACGTTTATAATTGTCCACATAGAAAAATTAATAAATTTGGATGGTTTTCACTGAGCATTTTAAATGGTTAAACCGTAAAAATATATAAAATAATATATATATATATATATATATATATATATATATATATATATATATATATATTACAATAACAATTTTTGAAAATTCAATTTTCAGATTAAAAATAAAGTAAAGAAATAGAGAAAAACCGTAAAAATAGACAAATTTGTTAACCTTTGTCTAGAAACAAAAATTAACCATATGACATAAGTAACAAGTATTTTGGCCGGGGTCCTTGCAAAAATACGATAAGTTCTGTCAAACTAAAAAATACGCATTTTGATATTTTTGTTGGGGTCCTACAAAAATACTTTGTCTGGTTTTGTACATTATAAAAACATAACTTTCATGTTCTTACTTTATTTTTTAGAAAAATTCAAAAATAAAATTCTTTCAAGACATGGTCAAATACTTAGATGTACACACATCTAGGTTCAAAGTTCATATTTAAAGGTACCGATTCCAAATCCATATATTTTAGGATGAATACATCTGAAAATGAGATAGGCCGCAACTCCAATGAAAATATTACATTTTGTTATGGATCCTTACGAGAGTGTCACATTTTAGCAAAAATCTCTACGAAAATATCATATTTTGGCAAGTTTTCTTGGGTAGACCGGGTGTTGCTCAAAAATTGAAAAAATTACATAAAATATATTGTTTTTGTTTAAAGTACTCAGGTCACCAAACCCATTATGCAGCAAGGCCTAACCCATTTTGTAGGAAATGACAAAACTCCTAGGAGTTAACTATTTTTGTGATATGTTGAATTTTTGTTTATTTTGTGGAACAATCGAAGTAGTTGTTTATTTTTATATTTTTTCAAAGAAATATTAGTAATCTCCACGATTTACACCATTTTGCTTGCTTGGATAGTTGAATATACGACTTCAGTCAACTATGCTCGTTTTAAAGAAACCCTTCAAGTTGTTTGAGACCGGTATTTGTGAACTAAATAATAAGCCGGGGTTTATTTTAGAAGAAATCATAGTGTAAGGTCATAAACAACATAACAATAAAAGTATGAGGGCTAAGATGTCAATTTAGCATAATAAATAAAAATCTGACCGTTGTGAGCAAGAAAAACAAATGCGACCGTTACCATCTCCGGTGTTCATAACCCTCTAAATATCCAGCAAATTACCCCTGAAATCATCTAAATTCCGCAGTGTTATTTGAGAATCTAGAGCAGATTTCACCTGATCTCACATTTCTTTCGTGAATCTGATTACTTCGCTCTTGTTTGTGTTTGATTTCCTCTTTTTTTAAGCTTTTCGAACTCATTGATGGCGGAAATGAAAGATCTCCACCACCACCTCGTGGAAATTCCGGTCGATGGAGAACACCAGAAGCAAATAATCTCCGCCATTAACGCCATCTCCGCCATCCAAGACCACCCACTAATGGAAATCTCAGAATCCCCCGGCCACCTCTTACTTCTGAAACTATTACAGAGAGAAGAAGATCTCTCCGGCCGCCGCATCGCCAGAAAAGAAACAAGACTCGACACTCTCAGACGAGAAATCTTCCAACTTTGTTTATTTTTCTTCACATTCCATGGTCTTTTCTTGACCATTTTATTCACATCATCAAACAACGACGTGGGTGTTGATGTTTGTCAAAAATGGTGGATACCCATGACCACATCTTTATCTTTTTGTGTTGTGATGGTGTTCTTGGTTCAGATGAAGCTTTACAGATACTGGAAAGTGAACGGAAGGATTCATCAGGAGAAAAGTGATAACAGAGGAATAACGAGATGCATTCAAGAGTTGAGGATGAAAGGGGTTAGCTTCGATTTGTCAAAAGAACCAGGAAATGGAAAGAGGATGAAGAGTTCGAGTGTTGAGATCAAATGGAAACCGATCACTTGGTGTTCTCAGTATCTTGTCACTATTTGTCTTGTTTTGGCTTCTGGTTTATCTCTTCCGATTTGTAAATTCATGGTTTGTGCGTAACCAAACGCCATGAATTGTCGAGACTTATTTTTTTCTTTTTCGTTGCTTTGATTAAGTGGGAATGAAGCGTTTTGGTCCGGTCATCAAGTATGTGTTCGTTCGACTGGATTTTGACACCATGGTTAACCAGAAGAGTGACACGGCTTGTGTTGTTCGTTCATGTTGAACTCAAGGCTTGATGAGGTTTTTTTGATGAATAATTTGATTTATTGATTTATTATAGTGAATAGTTTTTTACAAGGATAGAAGAATCTAACATAAGTATCAAAATCTTGTTTTGCCATTATGTGTAATGTTCGGTTTTAACTTCTATAAGATATTGGAGAAAAATACACCTTGTCAAGTGCATAATGAAGTCCAGCCAAGTTTGTTTCAAGTTCATTTTTAACAAGTTTCTTTATGTTCTACTTAATCTTGTGCAAAGCATCTTTATTGCCCTAATTGGTTGTCTAAAGCTAGATTGACTTGACTACAGAGCACTAAATCTTGAAGAATCAATTGCATCACATTGTGCTAATTTTTTGATATTATTTGGATGGGATGATGGTAATATATTTTTCGATCTGTACACATTTGGTCACATTCAGTCCTTATGACCGGCTACTCCAGGTTACCCGGTAAAAATGACTTAATAGGGTAATATATATTTCTCATTTTGTACACATTTAGTCCTTAATACTTTTGTACACATTTAGTCATTTTTTTTTTTGCAAAATAAGTCATTTTTTTGTACTCATTCAGTACTTATGAATGATTTTTTAGTTTTTTCTCACGAAATCTTACGTGGGACATTCATTAATGAGGTGTATGGGGCTTTTGATGCTTATATTTATCGCGATCTCGACTACTTGGTTGCTTAGGTCATGTGTTCTGAACGTCATAACTTCTTCATATGATCTCGGATTTTAACGATCTTTATATCCATGCGTTCGTATTTTAGTCTACTACAACTTTCATTTAGATTACTCCTATTAAAAAATAATATATTTTTACTTACGATTTTTATATCCATACGTGGTGGCGGATTTAGTATGGTCCCGGTGTTGCACCGACAACACCTGTTTTTTCTGTTCGCAGTGGAAAATTTTTCGCTTTTTTTTTACGTTTATACCTATTTTCCATGTATCGGCAACACCTATTTCATCTCGGCAACACCCACTATGTATTACTGCGTCTTCCTCTGTCCATACGATTTTTATGAATGCATGTATCTATGTTTTTTTTTTATAAAATCGTTAGTAAAAATATATTACATTTTAACGGGAGTAATCTTAATGAAAGTTGTAGTAGACTCAAAAAATAAACACGTGGATAAAGATCCTTAAAATCTGATATCGTATGAAGAAGTTACGATGTTCAAAATACAAGACCTAAGCCAAACCACAAGACTTACGCAACCAAGCAGTCGAGATCGCATTGGACATAAGCATCAACAACACCAAACACCTCATCAATGATTGTCTCACGTAAGATGTCGTGAAAAAAACCTAAAGAAATCATTCATAAGTACTGAATGAGTACAAAAAAAGGATTTATTTTGGAACAAAAAAATGTTAAGGACTAAATATGTACAAAAATATTAAGGACTAAATGTGTACAAAACGAAAAATATATTACCCTATCAAGTCATTTTTCCCGGCTAACCTTGAGTAATAGGTCATAAGGACTAAATGTGTACAGTTTAACAAGTTTAAGGGGTAAATGTGGACGAAAAAAAAAACTCAGTGACCAAATGTGTACAAATCGAATAATATGTTACCCTTTTAAGTCATTATCCCTATTTGGATTCTGGTCAAATGGGTTGGGTTGATAGGTAGTGAAATTTTGTAACATCCGGATTTTTTAGGGATATTATTGTGTATGTTAATCTTGAGGTTGAAGGAGAGACTCGACGAGTTGAGGGTCCAACTCGCCGAGTCGAGTCGAGTTGCCCGCGTGGATTTAATAAGTGGACTCGACGAGTCAGAGGAGGGACTCGCCGAGTAGGTGTTGGCCAAAGAAACCCTAATTTCCCGGGTTTGGGACCTATTTAAAGGCACTTATAGCCTCATTTGCGGCTACCTTCCCCTGAGAGCAAACCCTAATTGCTAATGGAGCTAGAGAGTGAGAGAGAAGCTCATATTGTGGCTCTTGTGCATCATTTGAGGAAGAGGAGGAGGTTATCAAGCAGGGAGCTGGAGGTGAGGCTGTTGGATCTAATGATTTCCTGTCCAGAGCTCCTGAGAAAGGTAAGAAGTCTTTACCTTTCTTCTTATTTTGGATAGATCTCATATCTATGGAGTTTTAGGGCTTTTTGCTATCTTTTGTTTGGGTTTTTGAGTAGCATGAGTTATTAAGAAGTCTAGACCTCAGATCTGGACCTTGTGAGGTCCTTAGAGTCTAGGTGTCCCAGCTTTATTCATCCACATGAGGGTTTTTGGGCTTAATCATTCATGAAGGGCATGCATTAGCATTTTGGAGCAATAACATCATGCATGAACGTAAAGATTGAAGCTTTACGTGACTATTGAGCCTTGAGAGGACAGATATAGTGTTTGGAGTGATAGATCTGTTTTAAATCGTCTGAATGAGCTTTGGGTCTGAATGAACTCGCCGAGTCAATGAGCCGACTCGACGAGTTGATTAGGGTTTGTCCCGTAGAGCTGAATCATGCGATCACTCGGGGAGTTGGGAGTCAACTCGATGAGCTGAGTCAACCTTCACGAGATTTATGTGGAAAACGATGGGACTCGACGAGTCACAAGGGTGCACTCGGCGAGTCGGGTCAAACATGGACTGTTGACTCGAGTTTGACTTCTGTTGACTTTGGGGTTTTGGTCAACATGAGTAATAGAGACCATGAAGGGGTAAAATGGTCTTTTACCCACTTCAAAGAGTTAGAGAGAGAAAGAATAGCCTTCGGTTATCTGAGTCGTGAAAAGAGTATTAATTAGAGATGTTCATCCTTGTGTTAGGCGGAGGCTAGTTCGAGATCCGAGCGCGAGGTTATTTGCTCACCTGCTTGCGAGGTGAGTCTTCTCACTATACTTTACCTAGAGCCTAGAGTGGTACTTATGTGTGACCGGAGGATCTTATGTGCTTACATTGAGTATTATGTTATCCTGCCTTATGTTTTATGCTGTGCATTATGTCTTTATGATTTATGCTATGCGGAGCTTTACAGACCGGACCAGAGGGTCCAACGAGCCATGAGACCGGAAGGTCCTCACTGAGACCGGACCGAAGGGTCCAACGAGCACTGAGACCAGAGGTTCCTCATAGAGACCGGACCAGAGGGTCCAACGAGCCGTGGGACTGGAGGGTCCCACCGAGACACATTTACCGGAGGGTCTTATAGAGCTATAGCCTCGAGTGGCTAATTATTTTGTGTGTGGTATTTTGGGGAACTCACTAAGCTTCGTGCTTACCGTGTTATGTGTTATGTGTTTCAGGTTCTTATCAGGATCGAGGGAAGGCGCCGACTTGATTGTACACACATCCGAGTTAGAGATATGTCTTTGGAGGATCCTGATTTGTGATAAACGATTTTTAAAATGTGTTGATAATTTGTTACTTGTGAGTTTTAAGAAAATGTGACATGTGGTTTATTGTGTTTTTAAAAATGAAAATTTGGTTGAAAATTTACGTCATTACAAGTTGGTATCAGAGCCTTGGTTTGAGGGATTCGGATGCACCTCCGGGTGTGTTTGAACTCAAACTGAGGATTTGAGAAAGATTTTCAAAAGAGATAATTTTTTCTAAAAATGAGAGAGAGTTTAAGAGAAAACGAGTTGGAGCAGTGTGTATAATCAGGCAGAGCCCGAACGGTGATTTCCCAAAATACCCTTACTTTTGTGTTATGAGATATTTATGAGATATTTTATGGGATATTATGCATGCTAGATATAGGCTAGGTATTTCATAATTTAGGACTAGAGTGACCTGATTTGTGATGCCTTAGCCTAGGAGTTGTGATATCTGTGATGTGCTTTTGAGTATGTGCTGAGTAGAGTAGTAGACACCTCGAAAGGTAGGATCGCCTAAGTCGGCAATGTCTTTTGAGTTGGGAATAGAGCAAGAGGAAGTATATGCCAGAGTGGCTTTATGTGTTAGTGGGGATCATTCGATGCCCGAATGCTGCTTGCTTCGTGCTTTGTGGAACTCTTGATGATAGGAGACAACTACTAAGTGAATATGACGATATTCAGGAGGTAGATGGCTGGCATCATGATGAGTTCTTCAGCAACTGATGGCAGAGAAGTGTGAGAACCTAGGAAGAGCCTAGGGAGTGAACTTAGTCAGATGAGTACGCTGACGGAGGAGAGTATTCGCTGGAGGGCGAACTTGCGTAACAGGATTGGTGATCGAGAAGGTTGAACAACTACTTAGGAAATATGGGACGATCCATGTGGAAAGTATGGGTAGATGTGGCAGGTAGTATGGGCCCGTACTAATGATAGCAGAGGAACCATACTCGAAACAGGGAGAATTCCAGAAGTTCTAAGTAGCGGATTGAGAAGAGAAAACATGGTTCGAGTACCATGATTCGTAGCGGATTGAGAAGAGAAAACATGGTTCGAGTACCATGATTCGTAGCGGATTGAGAAGAGATAACATGGTTCGAGTACCATGATTCATAGCGGATCGAGAGGTGGCCACATGGTTCGAGTACCATGACTCGTGACGGTTAGTGATTCTGGTTTTACCAGTTATTCCGTTGTGATTGGTTAGAATGAGATCAGATGTGAAAGAGTATGGGGCCAGAGGGCCATGTGGAACGAGTTTCAATGGAGCATACCTTGAGAGAAAAAAATCGAGTTAGTTTCTGAGGGATTTTTGGTAAAATGCCAGTTGGAGTCGCAAGACTCAGGGATGAGTAGAAGATGGTGATTTATGGAGGATTACGGTCTGAATCGAGCAATCGGCCGATAGAGGAGATGTCACTTTCTGTGACCAGAGTTGTGCTATTTCGGTTTCCTGTGATGGGCAGAAGAGATATAGAGCTTCTGGTTTCAGAGTTG